GGACTTGAAAATCAAATTTTTTTGTTGAGCTCTGGTCTTTTTATCAGGAAGGTTTTTAAGTCCCCTATTTCATTGAATATCCATCTCCTCCCTTGAAAAATCATGCTCATTTTTTGTGGGGTAGTTGATCCTTGGCTGCAATCCAATCTCCTTTGCCGTATGGAATATCATGTTCCATGCCCTGTGGTCTTTTAATGTAGAAGCTGCAAGGTCCTGTGTAATCCTTACTGTAGTTCCATGATATTTAAATTGTTTCTTTCTGGCTGCTTGCAGAACCTTCTCTTTCATCTGGTAATTTTGGAATTTTGCTATTATATTCCTTGGCATTTTCAATTTGGGATCTCTTTCAGGTGATGAACGATGTATTCTTTCTATGGTTATTTTCCCTTCTGGTTATAGGACTTCCGGGCAGTTTTCCTTTATGATTTCCTGAAAGATACTGTCCAGGCTTTTTTTCATCATGATTTTCAGGTAGTCCGATAATTTTTAAATTGTCTCTCCTGAAACGATTTTCCAGGTCAGCTGTTTTACTGAGGAGGTATTTTTACGTTTTCATCTATTTTTTCCTTTTTTTTTTGTTTCTGTTTGACTGATTCTTGCTCTCTCATAGAGTCATTAGTTTCCATTTGTCCAATTCTAGTTTGTAACAGATTCTTTTCTTCTGTTAGTTTTTGTACTTCCTTCTTCAATTGGCAAATTGTGTTTTTTAGGGACTTGTTTTCTTCAGTGTATTTTTTTTTCCAATTGGCTAATTGTATTTTTTAAGGACTCTTCTACCTCTCTCATTTGACTTTTAAAATTCTTCTTCAGCTCTTCTAAGAAGGCTTTTGGGCTTCAGACCAGTTCATATTCCCTTTTGACGTTGCGATGTGGGTTTGTTGACAATGTTGTCCTCTTCAGAATTTCTGTCTTGATCTTCACTCTTCTCATAATATGAATCTATGGTACGTTTCTTTTTACTCATGCTGTTTCTTTATTCCCTGCCCTTTAAAGAGATTGAGCTCTCCTGCTGGGGCACAGAGGGTACTGACCCAAGCTTCTTGTGTTGGGAGCCTAGGTCTTGGTCACTGGCTTTGTGTGCTGGGGCCTCTTATGTTGGCAGTTGGAGGCTGTAGAGCTGTGGGTTGCCTGCTTTTCCTTTCCTTTAGCTTTCTTCAGCTCCTTTTGGACAGGTGCTGCAGGGTGTTTATCTGCCTGGGGCCCCTTGCAGTGCTGCCTCCCTCGTTTCTGCTAATGCACTGGGAGGTTCCTTTGCAGAGTGCTGAGGCACCTGGTGGTTTTCTGAACTGGTTTCCACCAGCTCCACCCCCCCCACTCCCCACCAAGGCACTCAGAGGTCCAGGTGTTGGTGTTTGCCTGCTCTACCACCTGGGCTTCAGAATCTCTTCCTGGTTGACAGTTGGAGGCTGTAGGGTTCTGACAGCTTACCTTGTGTTGGGTTGAAATCAGCAAAGCCGGGACTTCAGGAAGACTCTAGGTTGCTTTCTTCAGCTCCTTTCAGATGAATGCTGTGGGGTGCTTATCTGCCTGGGGCCCTTTGTACACGCTGCTTCCCTTATTTTTGCTGAAGCACTAGGAGATCCGTTTGCTGGGCTGCTGCACTGCTGCTCCCCGTCTTTCTTCTACTTCAGGTGTTCCAGGGTTTTTTCTGGGGCGATATTTTCTGGGTTTTCAGAGGTTGACAGAGGAGAGTGAGAGTGACTACCTTTTTACTCCACCGTCTTGGCTGCCAGAAGAGGAAAACCTGCACCACACTCACCAGTGTGAGACAGGTGGTGCATGTATTACTGAACTTGTTTTTAGTAAGCCTTCAAAGGGAAATGACTTGTCAGTGGTCACACAAGCAGAATTCACAATCAGGATCCCCTGACTGCTGGGTCCCTGGCTGCTTCCAAAATACTTATTTTGCACAGATAACTTCTGGGTTGGAGCTAAGCAGCATGCCTGGGACAACACTAATCACCAGCAGTCTGCTTCCACACTTTAAAGATGGCTTTGTTTTTCAGGGATCAAATGAGAGCAGCTGTGAGAATGCCCTTGGCAAAGTGGCAAGTTTTTTTTGTCAGTGTAGAAAACTTGCCCCAACCCTTCAAACGTCAAACTTAAGTCCTGGTTCTGCAGCTGCTAAAACAGTTAGCTGTTTTACCAGCTGCAGAACCAGGACTTAAGTGTTCAGGGTAGAATATCCCACCGGCATGAATCAGTTCATGTACTTCCCCCAGCACTTGACAATTTACAAGTTTTCCTTAATCAAGTTCTGGAGTCTATTCCCCAGCCAGAGAAGCAGTAGGAGTACATTGTTGTCTCAAAGAAAAATCACTTCAAAGACCCCTTGTTTCAATTAGGAAAATAGAAGTTGATTAAAGAAGCAATTAAAAGATAAACAGAGGAGGCAGGTAGAATAACCACTTTAATGTCAATACATCACCATCCTATTTTCATGGTCTCTCCTTTCTGTTCTATTTGGAAAAGAATAGTATTCCTCCAGCTAGTCTGAAAAGTTGACCTGAGTTCAAATCCAGCCTCAGATATTTACTAGCTGTATGACGCTGGGCAAGTCACCTAACACTGTTTGGCCCAGTTTCCTCAGCTGGAAAAGGAAATGGCAAAGCACTGCAGCCATCTTTGCCAAGAAAACCCCAAATGGGGTCACAGAGAGTCCGAAACAACTAGACTCAACAACATCATCATTCTAGAAAGCAACTTGAAACTAGCCCCTCAGGTGACAAAACTGCCCGTCTTTTGACCCAGCCATACCATATACCCCAAAGAGATCAAAAAAAGAGGAAAAAGATTCATGTACAAAAATATATGGAAGATGCTTTTTTGTGATGGCAAAGAATTAGAAACTAAGGGGAGAAGGATGTGCCCATCAGTTGGGGAATGGTTGAACAAATTATGGCATATAATTGCAGTGGGATACTATTGTGTTTTAAGAAATGATGAAGGGGATGGTTTCAGAGAGACCTGAGAAAACAGGTATGAATTGATACAGAGTGAAGTGAGCAGCACCAGAATAATTTATACAATAATAACAATATTACAAAGACAAATAATTTGGAAGTATTTAAGAATGCTGATCATTGTGATTATTCATCATGCTGGAGAACCCTTGATGAACCATGCTACTCACATTTTGACTGAGAGGTGATGGACTTAGAATACAACTTGAGACATATCTTTTGGACATGGCCAATATGGGAAATTGTTTTGCTTGATTCTTATTAACAGGTTTTTGTTTTGTTTTGGTTTTTTTCCCATTGGGAGAGAAAATAATTTTTGTGAATTGACAAAAAAATTTCCCTAGTCAGATGGTGAGTTAAGTCAAGAGATATAGCTAGAATAATTGTTTCAACATTCAAATCTTAAAGAATCCATGAAAACTCCCACTGGAATTACTTAGGAAATGCTTTAGTATATGCATATTTGAGTGCACAGAAATACCGTGTAGATTGCTTATCTATTTAGAATAATGGTGATTTATAGAAATGACCTTGTAGGTTATCCAGCCCAACTTCATTTTCCGATTGAGAAATTTGAAGCCTGGATAAGGTTATACAAAGCAGCCTTTCCAGAAGCAGAACTCATACTAACTGATTTCTCATCTGGTGGTTTTTCAGTCACACTAAGACATCTTCCTTTTGGCCTACTTTTTCTTCAGGGCTTCTTTGGGCAAGTTAAAGGGACACAGACTCAAATTTCACAGGGCAAGAATTTCTGTAGTCAGCATTAGGATTCTTAAGTGTGCTTTTTACTATATATTAGGGCCCAGTATCTAAAATTGTAGTGGAGGCTCATGGGAAGTTATGATTTTATGTATGTATGTATGTGTGTATATATGTACATATATGCACACACAGACACGACATATACGTATGTTGTCTTCAAATAAGAGCCAGCTATACTAGGGGTATTATTTCAGGACATCAGATTGTTACATTCCACTAAAAAAAAAAAAGTATGTGCGTAAGTATAAATAAGATTGTATAAATATTTAAAGTTACTGAATCAAAGACTTCTTTTTTTTCCAACTTTTTTCTGACAGTTGATAAATCTAAATGAGATGTGTATGCCTATGAAATATGAAGTAAGAATACACAAAATAAAATTTTTAATTCTTTTATTTAGAAACATGAAAGAAATATTAGACTTAAAACATGTTTTAAAAAGTGAAAGTAAAAAACACTTCACAAGACATGGTGTCTTCTTAATAGACAAGAGCTATCTTAACTTTGTAATGTCAGTCTGTTGTGGCTTGTCCTTTGTTTTCAAAGAAGACCATGACATCAGGGAGATGACAATATGACTTTGCAAGTGACTTTGATTTAAGTGAGGGAAGGCTGTGCAAGGTCACCAGCCTCACTTTCTCCTCCAGAACAATCTGGGTCCAGTGGCCAGATACAGACCAGGATGACTGGAGATGGCCCAGGATGCAGTGGGAGATTTTGGTCTTTTTAAGCTAAAGTCTTTTCAAGTTCTCACTTTGAGTGAGGCAACACCCATTCAATGAACAGACCTCTTTAAGAAGCGAGTCAAGGTATAATTTGATGAAGCCTATGACATCAAAATTAATAACTCCAAGGATTTCTAAAGTATTTCAAAGTGAATTCTTCTTATCTTCAGAAGTATCCCTTAAATTTAGTACATACACAAAGCACATTTATTTTCCTAACACTTGCAAAGAGAAGATTTTCCCTTCACCACCACCCCCATTTTAAACCTGTTCTAGAGCCTAGGTACTGTAACATAAAATGAGGATCTCATAGTAACTCAAATCGAAATACTTTCCCCTCTCTAAATGTTTATTACCATGAAAAAGATTTATGTAAAGTTTAATTAATAAATGTTCTTTTTTTAAAAAAATATCACTTTTTGGAGGAATAAAGACTTTTTAGCATGTAACTTACTTCCCTCCTTTCTCCTCACTTCAGGGGTTCAAATTTGTAAAATGTAAAAGAAAACCCACAATTCACGTCTGTTTCATATCTCTGTTTGTTTAGTGCTTGTGTGTAGTCACGAAGGGAGCAGTAGAAGGTGTGGTGGACAAGGAGACCTTCTGTCTGGCTCACTTGGAGTCTTAGCACACTGGGCATTTCTTGCTGGGCCCGAAAAAACAAATGGGTATGATTCTCTTTTTGCTTTATTTTACTACAATGGGAAACATAATTTCCCCAGACTAATTATTATTTCCTTGATATTTTTCCTTCCTAACTAGCCCCACCATTCTTCCTCTCTCTTTCCCTAATTTCACAAGCAGTTGGTATCTTGGTGCATTTTTGGTTCTCTTTTTAAAAAACCAGATTTAATTAAGGATAACTTAAGCCTTCTAAATAGAAAATTAATGTCATTGAGCATTATCTAAACTGGTTGTATTTTGTAGATTTAAAAAAAAAACATGACTACATAACGTTTACCCTTAAAGAAGCAAGCTATTTGAGAGAGCGCATGAAAACACTATTTTAAAATTTCTCTCAGAGGTATTCAAGGGTTATGATTAGATGTTCTTGCCACAGAAGTTTAGACACAAAGCCAAATTTCCCAGTGCCCAACACAGACCCTGCTTGTAGTTTAGATTTGTACAGTAGCTAGGGTTACTATAGACTATATATGTAAAATACTTTACAAACCTGAACACCCTCTATAAATGACAGCTATTATGGTCATTTCCTTCCAAACCACCTCACAGTAAGAAGAAACTACCCCACCAGCAGAATTAATTTTGTAGTATGACTACTATATAGAACGATGTGCATTGAGGTGTGACATTGATTGTATTAAATAGAACAGAGACGTCAAACTCGAGGTTTGCTGCAGTAGGGAGGAACCAGATTAAAATATAATTGGGAATTGTTTACAGGAGTCCATCACCACTGATCTAGAGTGCAGAAATGATTCTCAGGTTCTTCCTCTAAAATTGATAGAACCCCACTGAATTCAAGTATGAATTGTTATTAACTTCTAGCATAATTTGTGATGGCAAACAAAGAATTAGAAACTAAAAGGGGGAGGATGTGCCCATCAATTGGGGAATGGTTGAACAAATTATGGCATATAATTGTAATGGGTATGATGCTATTGTGTTTTAAGAAATGATGAAGGGGATAGTTTCTGAAAGACCTGAGAAAACAGGTATGAAACTGATAATGGAGTGAAATGAGCAGCACCTAATGCCTCAAGGGGGCATGGCATGGCGGTGAACCTTGGTTCCCAAAGGTTATGGCATTAAACCATGAGCTATCAGCTCCTACCAACCTCCTATGAAACATTTCAAAAAGGAGCCTGGTGATGGACCTAAGTGTGGGTCTGAGGACCAGTCTAGATGAGTTAGGAAAGGCAGAGTACCAGTCTTGTCTACAGAGTGATAACTTTTTCAGTCATAGCAGTGCTCAAAGACCTGTCACAGAAGTTCAGTGTCTCAGCAGAAAGAGTATTGAAATGTTTCCAGAGTTTGCAGGGTCATAGCTTTTTTAGAGTTGGAAGGGACCCCAGAGGTCATCCAGTCAAACCACTTCATTTTTCCAGGTAAGGAAAAGGAGGCCTTTGGGAAGTTAAGTGACTTGCCCAAAGGCACTACATAATAAGTATCAATCAAGCAATCAATAAACATTTGTTAAGTACCAACCACTACCAGGCACTGTGCTAAGCAGTGGAGATCTAAAAATATGCAAAGATAGTTCCTGGCCTCAGGGAGCTCACAATCAAATGTGGGAGACAATATGTAAATAAATAATATACATGCAAGCTCTATACACGATAAGTGGGAAGTAATAAAGGAAAGGCACTAGAAGTAAGAAGAGTTGGGACAGCTGTCCTGTAAAGAGTGGGATTTTAACTTAAAGGAAGCCAAGGTAATCATTAGGTAGAGTTGAGAAGGAAGATCATTCCAGGCTTGGGGACAGAACCAAGAGATGGAGTGTCTTATTTGTGGAATAGCCAAGCCAGTGTCACTGAATGAAGAATGTTTCAGGAAGTAAGGCAGGAGAAGATTGGAAAGTAAGAGAGACTACTAGGTTGTGAAAGGCTCTGAATGTTAAAAGGTTTTATATTTGATCCAAAGAGGATTGTGTATTTGTTGAGCAGGTGGGGCAACAGGGGCAACACTTTTGGAAAATCACTTTAGTGGCTGAATGGAATATGGATTGGAGCAGGGAGAGACACCACTGGCAGGCCATTGCAGTAGTCCAGGCATGAGGTGACCAGGGACTGCACCAGGGTGTGTGGCAAGTGTCAGAGGAGAGGAGGGGGTATATTCAAGAATGGTTGCAAAGCTGAAATTGACAGGCCTTGGCAACAGCTTAGACATGGTGAGGGAAGGGGGGAGGGAGTAAGGGGTTGATAGATGGTGAGGAGTCTTAAATGACTCCTAGGTTGTGAGCCGGAGGGACCAGGATGGTGTTGCCTTCCACAGTGATAGGGAAGGGTGGGGGAGAGGCTAAGGTTCAGGGGGAAAAGATGAGTTCCGTTTTAGACATACTGAGTTTAAGATGTCTACTGGACATCCAGTTTGAGATGTCCGAAAGGCAGTTGGAGATGCAAGATCAGCAGAGATACCAGGGCAGGCTGGGTACTGAATCATCAAAGTAGAAATGCTTATTAGATCATGTGGGAGAAGAGGACCCAGGACACCTGGGTTAAAGGGTTTGACCTGGAGAAGGATCCAGCAAAGGAGGCATAGGAGTGGTCAGATAGGAAGAAGGAGCAACTGGAGAGTGTGAAAACCTACAGAGAAGAGAGTATTAAAGAGAAGAAGGCAATCAGAAGTGTTGGAGGAGAGAGGGAGAGAATGAGGATTGAGAAAAAGCCCTTGGATTTGGCAACTAAGAGATCATTAGTGACTTTGGAAAGAGCAGTTTTGGTGGAAGAAGGTCAGATTGTAAGGGGTTAAGAAGAGAAATGAGAGGAGAGAAAGTAGAGGCACCTATTGTAGGCTGCCTTTCCAAGGAATTTAGTCTGAAACGACAGGATAGAGGACGATAATTAGTGGGGATGGAAGGATCAAAGGAAGGTGTTTTCAGGATGAAAGAGACAAACAGACAAGTTCATAGGAAGTAGGGAAAGAAGCCAGCGGAGAGAGAGATTGAAGAGTGACAGAGTAGGGGTGACACATAGGTGAGATGAGCTGGAAGGGGATTACTTGAGCAGGTAGAAGGGCTGGGTTATCAGAGGCAGGATTTGAATCCAGTTCCTCTGACTCCTGAGTTAGTACTTTTTCCATTGTATTATACTGTATTTTTCTATCAGTCACTAGTTTTAGTCTTTGTTGGTAATTTTTACTAGAATTCTTGAACATCTTTGTTAACAGTTTTGTTCCCACATTTATAAGTACTAGAAATTTTTATTTCTATGAAAAACTAGTTGTCCTCACCCTAAAATGGGCAGATATTTTAGTTGCATTTGGGGGGGGGGGACAGAAGCAAGGCTAATAATACATTTTAAACTATAAAACATCAAGATTGTAGGCCCCACAGCACTAAATTTGGGACCCAGGAACACCTTCCGTAACGCCCTTAGGCACCCCAAGAGATATTTTTAAATTTGTTAAGCCCTGATTGGGATTGGCGGGAAGAACACTGTAAAATTACAATCACGTGGGATTTAAAACAAGCTCTAAATCAAAAATATTAAGAGGCGGTCAATGATAGGACTGACTTAACCACCAACATTTTTGTAAACCTCATGTCTAATGGTTTCTAATGACCCTTGCTTTGCAGCTTTCCGTATGTGAAAACTTCTTACTAACGACCTCTTCACTCTCTAGTCAGAACCCTTTCCTCGTGGCTGCCTTTGGTGCGTGTTCTCTCACACGGCAATGTAACAACCAAGCCTTTCAGAAATACGGGCGCTCGATGACCACCACTGACATGGTTGCTGAAGTGGGGATGGCCTTCAGCAAGCTGTTTGAAACTTGAAGCAGGGGGAGCAAGACGCACAGGAAGCCAAACATTTCTGGCTGTGGGAATCCCTTGGGCAGAAGTGCTGTAGCAGCACACATGCTGCTTATTTTTAAGACTAGGGATTAAGGTGATTAACATAGATATTTCTTGAGAGTCTGGAATACAGGAAGCATTGGCTGAAAGGAGATGTACCTGCAAATGTTCTAATAAAATTAAACTGAAAGTGTTCCTCTTACTCTTCAGTTATTTAGCGCTAACAAGTGCCGAGAAACCTGCAGAAACACACCCTTGGAAGATAAGAATAACATTCTTCCACCAGCTTTGACTGTTTTTGGTTGGCACCTGAACCAGGACAGTGTGGGGTTCACATTCTATACGCTGGGCTTAGGAGGCTGGCCAATTTCTAACCTGTATAAAAACTAAACTTTTCCAGTTCTTGGATAATCCTTGGGCTTCAAAAATAAATCAGGTTTTTGGGGCACATTTCTCATCGCTGAAATCTTACTATGTGAATGAGAATTTAAGTCTCAGAGCTTGAGCACCACTTGCCATCTGAAGAAAGTTTTTCAAAAGATCATTAGCATGTGGCAAGTTGGATAGTAGTAACTTCTGAAATTGTTTGAGACTCGTTTGACACGAGTGAGTGGTGGAATATTTCAGAATAGCCTGGAATGATGTGCTTGTTAGGAGTGATTTTAGAGGCATGGTGAGAAATTAGAGCAGGGATATTTTGTCTATGGGCCATCAAAGCCTCTTTTAGTGGGTGTGACTTTGAACTATAGCTAAGCATCTGGGGAGGTAAATTAGGGTGATAGGAAAGGCAGTTTGTAGTTCTTTTGCCTCTGGGGTGGTCGGAGGCTAAAACTATTTGAAGCATGAAATTCAATTCTGCATCTGTTTGATCAAGTTGTTTCTGCCGCTTTTTGGAGACTTTGTACTTGTTTGGTTAGTGCAGCTTTGGGGCCGTCTCATAGTACTTACCGTCTGTCAAGGATGGAACTCATCAATGTGGTGTCCTTCTGGCGGCCTACGAGGCACATCTGCCTGGTTTGGGATTGATCTGTAAATCCTTACACAACTTCCCTGATATTTTAATCCCCACCCCTAACATACCTGCACCTTTAATTCTTAGGAAACAGTTAAACTAGTTGTAATAGGTATTATTACAGTTTAAAGTTTATCATACCTGAATATCCAAAGGATGGACACATTTCCTAAAGCATCTTCTGTTCTTAAATGCTACCAGGTATTCACTACCGTGACTTTTTTCTAGTGGCCTGCTTTTTCTGAAAATGGTGTTTGGTACCTTGTTTGAATGTTAATGTACTTCCATACCTTCCCATTTAAAAGAAAAAAGGACAAAAGCAGCAATATTTCTTGCCTTCCCAAAAAGTGATGCCCAAACTAAATACTATCCTTCATTTGTGGTCTAATCAGGGCAGACTATTGCAGGATGTCTAACAGGAGAGGTGGATTCTGTCTCTCAGTATAGCCTAAAATCATACTTCTTGGCCACCTGCTCTCAGGTAATTCATATTGAGCTTGCAGACCATTAAAACCACCAGATCTTTTAAAAAGAAGTTCCCAATCTTATACTTGGATTAAATTTTTTTTTTTAAATTTCACAACTGTAAGCATTTCCAGCCTATCAGAATCTTTTTATCGCCTACCTCTTAGTAATTCAGCTAGCTCCAGATTTGTCTCATTTGTAAATTTGATGAACTGGCCAGCTATATCTTTATCCAAATTACTTTGAAGTATTAAACAACAAAACCCAAAGGTATTCCACCAGAAACCTCCCAAGTTGACCTCAAATCATTAATGGTAGAGCAAGGATTCAAACTCAGGTCTTCAAGCTTAAGACAATTTTATTTTTTTGCTGTATCACCTACCTTTTATGCTTCACACCCATATGGTGAGAAAACTTCCACAACACTTTGGCTACTGAATCAAAGAAAAAGCTGCTTAGCCTAGTTTTTAGGCCCTTCAAAATCTGGCCTCAGAATCCCCCTTTTTAGCCCAACTTCCATCCATCCATGGTTCCAATATAGACCCGCCCTCTTCCAAACCATCCCAGTTCCCCTAACATGCCTGACCTTTACTCACCTTCCTCAGCGCATACCATTCTTCCTACCAGTGAAAATCCTATCCATCCTTCAAACCTAGCAATTACCACCGCTCTTTGAAACCTTTATTGATCCCTTCTCATTAGACAGTACTGCTCCCTTCTCCAAACTCAGATAAAACTTCTTAGCATTTTTACTGGGCAAGATGGTGTGAGTGGACATAACTAAGCCCAGTTGGCCTATATCACCCCTCAATATAGTAGCAAATGCACCAAATAAGAGAATAATGCCCCACACATCCTCTCCCTTAAAAGAGGGGAAAGAAATCTTGCCAGGAAAAACCTCACAGGCAGCCTCCTTGGGCCTCAGTTTTCTTATCTGTAAAATGAGGTTAGATTAGATGACCTGAGGTGTCTTCCAGCTCTCTATGTATAAGCCTTTGAAAAAAGACCAAAGAAATGAATAAACAAAAAACCAGACAATAATATAATTTTTTTTTTAAAAATCGGGAAAAAAAGCTCTAGAAAGAGAGAATAAGATTGCAACAATTATACCTGTGGTGGGAACAAATGTGACCCAAAATCTCCCCAGTAGTTTTGAATCATAAGGGAGATATTAAGGTAGATCTCAGCAACTATAAAACCGGAAATAAGATGGCTCCAGAACTCAAGAAGACTATCATGGCAACTGACAATCAAGAAAAGACAAGGGAACATATGAAAAAGCAGTGGACTCAAGCACAGTAGCTCAACCAAAATAAATAGTGACAGTAGGGCAAAAAAAAGGACAAACCTTTTATATATTCTACAACTGGAAAAAAATCTCTACAAACGAAAGCATCAGAGGGTAAGCAAGATAAGATGAAAGTTATTGATATACCTCTAAAGTATTTTTAAAAAAGTATGAATACCTACCCCCATTACCTAAAAGTCTTATAGACAGGATAAAATAGAAATTGATAGAATCCTTAGGATGCTGACTGAGAACCCCAAGAATAATAATAAAAGTAAGATGGAGGATTTGAAAGAGCAATAAAAACACTAAGGGGAACAAAATGGGGAAAAACTGGCATACAGGGGCTTTGGTTTTATTAGATCCCAAATTATAAAGCAGTGGTTATCAAAACTATTTGGTAACTAGATTAAAAAAAGGTAAAGGTATAATCAGTAGACTTAAATGTCTAGCATTCCATAAATCAGAAAACACTAACAAGAAAAGAATCTTATTCAACAAAAACTACTGGAAAAATTTAATAGCAGTTTGTTGGAAAATTTGGCATAGAAAAGCATTCTCCAACACATACCATATTAAACTGAAATGGATAAATAAGTTAATAAGTTAAGAGTAGAATGGGAGTTCATACCTCTCAACTCTGGATAGGATATGACTGCAACAGCATAGAGATATAAAAAAAATAAGTAAACTAAGAAGATACAAATGGGGGGTCTTTGCACAGAATTTCTCCGAAAAAGTGGTCCATTTAAGATCTATAGTATGTTGACACAAATACAGATTGAGAGCCATTCTCCAACGGGTAAATTGTTAAAATATTAACAAAGAGGTCTTAAAAGAAATCCAACTATCAACAACTACTTAAATGGGGTAAAACTCACTAAGAGAAATGGACACTGAGGGGGCAGCTAGGTGGCGAAGTGGACAGAACTCTGGCCATGGAGTCAAGGAGGACCTGAGGTCAAATCTGACACTCACACTTACTAGCTGTGTGACCCTGGGCAAGTCACTTAACCCCAATTGCCTCACCCCCCCCCAAATAAAGCAATGGATACTGAAACTCACCTCATACTCATCAAACAGATTGGGAAAACTGAATTAGGTACATTTATGTACTCCACGTAGGACAGGTCCACCCTTTTTGGGAAACAATTGGGAATTATTGAAGAGATACAAAATTGTTCGTATTTTTGGCCCAGTGGACCATTAGGTTCATATTCCAAGGATGCTGACAAGAAGAAGCTACTTATCCAAATGAAAATATTTGAAGCAATACTACTCATAAAAGCAAAAAGTTATAATAAAACCACACAACCCATTATGATTGGGGGAACAGCTTAAATTATAGGAATGCAATAGAGTATTATTGGGCCACAAGTAATGATGAATTTGAAGAATTCAGAGAAATATATGAAGACATGAATCAAGTGATTCATATCAGAAAAAAAGTAGAACCAAAATGATGTGTATATGTGTAATTGCAAGAACTATATAAAAGACCACAACTTTAAATAACAAAATGTAGATTAAAAAAAATTACTGGCCCATAAACACCACCAACTGGACTCCATAGCTTCTCCTGGCTCAACACCAACCCCATTGCCATTTTCATCACCCCCAACCTAGCAATTCATGGCCACAACCAACCTGTAGAGTTCTTTGACAATGTAGTCAATAATGAGTCCCTGGGAAGCAGAGTCAAGGTGGAAGAAGTACATTGAGCTCTGCCCCCATAACTCCTCTAAAAAGATCTAGAAAATGCAGCAGATTGAATCCAGATCAAGAAATCCAAGAAAAAAATTAGTGAATCATTTTTCAAGCCCAGATTAACAAGAAGACAAGAGGTCTGTGGGACACCAGGGACAGAGTCTTGTCAGGAATGTGTCACGTGAAGCATTTCTGTGTAAGGAAAGACTATGCACCAGGAGAACGAGAACTTAGATCCACTAACAGAGTGGCCTAAACTTGTGTAGTAAGCTGCAGGGACAGATGCCACCTGGCAGCTCTACTGCTCACAACCCAGTCCTAGTCAGATTCAGGGTGGACTGAAGAAGGGACCTGTGCTTAGGGGTGGCATTCTGAGGTGAGAAGCAGTAGAAAATCCTAGATTTTGGATCAAAGCAAGGAACAAGTTTTAGAAGCAAGCAGTATTCCGGGAGCCAAGATGGCGGAGTGAAAAGGTAGTCGCTCTCACTCTCCCCCTATCAACCTCTGAAAACCCAGAAAA